GTCCGTCGTGGCAATGTGGCTGGAGACAGCAAAAATGATCCACCCATGGAAGCTGCTGGCTTCACAGCTCAGGTGATTATTTTGAACCATCCAGGCCAAATCAGTGCTGGATATGCACCTGTGCTGGATTGTCACACAGCTCACATCGCTTGCAAGTTTGCTGAGCTGAAGGAGAAGATTGATCGTCGTTCTGGGAAAAAGCTGGAAGATGGCCCTAAATTCTTGAAATCTGGTGACGCTGCCATTGTTGATATGGTTCCTGGCAAGCCCATGTGTGTCGAGAGCTTCTCTGATTATCCTCCCCTGGGCCGTTTTGCTGTGCGTGACATGAGACAGACAGTCGCTGTGGGTGTCATCAAGGCAGTGGACAAGAAGGCAGCTGGAGCTGGCAAGGTCACCAAGTCTGCCCAGAAAGCTCAGAAGACTAAATGAATATTATCCCCAACACCTGCCACCCCAATCTTAATCAATGGTGGAAGAACGGTCTCAGAATTGTTTGTCTCAATTGGCCATTTAAATTTAATAGTGAAAGACTGGTTAATGATAACAGTGCATCGTAAAACCTTCAGAAGGAAAGGAGAATGTTTTTGTGGACCATATGTTTTGTGTGTGGCAGTTTAAGTTGTTAGTTTTTAAAATCAGTACTTTTTAATGAAAACAACTTGACCAAAAATCTGTCACAGAATTTGAGACCCATTAAAAAAAGTTTAATGAGAAAAAAAAAATAAAGAGGTTGTCTTTTTTCCATTGTATATTCTTAAGAGGCAACCATTATTATCAGTTTTTTTTTGTATCCTTTCAGAGTTATTCTATATATATTCTAGCTTTTCTCTGTCATGTTTACTTTAGCTAAAACTACTGTTCCTGAAAAAGGGGAACGTGTTTTAATTAGTACATTTTGTTCATTTTAGTAGTACATTTATTTACATGATTACTTACATAGACTCAGTGTAGTTTTGCTTAGTTATATTTGGTTTTTCTTTTATCTGTAAATAAAAATTTGAGTATGGTTGATTCAGATAGTCATGAGTGTTTCTTGAAGAATTAAAATTAGGAAAATAGAAAGGAATTCTTGAAAATGTAGAGAAACTGAGTAAGACTGAATGGGAAGTAGCAGAAAGTAGCAGTCAGGTCTGCTGCATATAATATTTGAAGAGTATTCTCTACTTATAAATCCCCCGTGCCCCACCCCCTTTTTTGCCTTCTTTAGCACGTATATGTACTTCGATTATCTATATTGCTGGATGATAAATTATTAAATTCTGTATAACTGATTTCTAAGCTGTGTTCTGGGAATGTTAGTATTTTGCAAGATATTCATAGGTATGTGATGAAACAATTTTGTGGTAGAAAATGTTTGGGAAAAGTGCTGTGGCATTGATAGTAAAGTTTTTAGTGAAATTTATGGATTTCTTTCAAGGTATAAGGTGCTGAATGCATCCATTGAGTTGCTAGGATATCTTATGATATGTTTAGAATCAAAGAAAATCTATTACAGAGCTCATCAGTTTCTTAACTCTTTCACCGAGAGATACTATTTTTGTATTTGGCAGAATCATTATTTTTCTCCTTTTTTAGTGTTCGCAGAATGCTGTTTTGGCAGTTGCTGGGGGGAATGAAATATCCTGGAAAGTTTGTATTATTAAAATGCAGTAACTTATATTATGTCAGAAGCTACTTAGAAATGCCAGAAGGAAATATTTCCTCTTTCTCTGCCTTTCTTTTGTCATAATTGCTGTAAACAATGGAAGTTGTATACATACACTGTATAGTTATTTTTATGTTTGATGGGCTGGCTTTTAAAAAGTCAGACATACTGACAAATGGTAAAATAAATATTTATTTATTTTTCTTTGAATCAAGGGACTGTGGGAGGGCAGCACCAGCCTGGTATAAAAGACCTTGGTCTGGAAATGGGCAGGAAAATCAGTAGCCATGCTAACACCACTTCCACTGTTGCTACCAGCTTTCACTAGTGGGGTCTTACATAGTTTAGAAAGGAATTCTGCCTCAGATCCTTTTTTGAAATTGGTTGAATGGGAAGTAAATAAATAAAAATTAAATGAATAAGAACTTACATATATTTTCCTCCATATTTACAAGTTCTTTATGAGTTAGATGTGCACATACACAGTTTTTTTCAAACCTGACAGCCCTTTCACCATGATCGAGACTATGTTATTTCATTATACTTATCTGTATATCTAGGAATAAATACTATCATTGTCTTATCTTTATTTAACTTTTTTTCTTTCCCGTTTTAGTTCTGACTTTGGATTGGTTATATCAGCCTATGAAATCCATAAAAGGTAATTATTTTGGTCAGTATTTAGGAGTGAAACTTTCATTTATAATCCCCTTATTGTCCTCCTGAAAATGAAAAAGTTCATTTTAAACAGTGAGAATACCTCAAGGTCATAGAACTCTGATATTTTTATTTGACCTGATAACAGAGCCAGACTTTATTAGATACGGTGATTCTATTATTGCTACCCTTTCCCCATTCATAATATAAACAAACATAAAAAATAAAATGAGTGGAAGAAACTTCACTGTGGGCTTGAATAACTTCTCACAAGTTTTGATTAGGGTTATGGTGTATATATTTTAGGAAATATTTATATTTATATATAAAATAAATTCTATATATAAGTATGTTACTTGAAATATTTATATTAATATATTTATGTAAAATATGTATGCATAAAACATTTTACATATGTACATGTTACATAATGTTTATAAATAAAGATATAAATACTACATACGATTAAAAATATAAATAGTACATAGCTATATATAAATATATATTTCTAAATATTTGTGGTTATATTTCTATATACAACTCTCAATATAAATCTGCCTATATATTTATATTTTAGGGATGTTTCATATGATATCTAGCAATTCCTTAAAACAAAAACCCCAAAGTAACTACTACATTCTTATGTAATTTTGTGTGTAAGTGTTCATGGAGGCTTAAAGGGGTGATAATGCCTTATTAATTTTTTTCAGAAGTGTTTATACTAGTTACTGACTGGGATGAATGGTTTTGTGAACAGATTTTCCTAGTAAGATATCATATCCCTTTTCTTTGCTGGCCCAGGTATTGATAACATTAGTATTCTGTACGCATCAGGGTATTAGAAGTGGGTACTTGGTGATGGACTTAATTGTGTTGGTGAAAGAAGACATTACACAGCTGGGGGAGATCCCTTGGCACAAGAGAGGCAAAGAGAGTAAAAAGAATAAGCCAGTGATTCGAGCTGTTTATTAACCTTGCCTTTCTGTGGAAAAGATCCTTTAGTCTGTCATTGGGCATGGTACTGGCAGCTGGAATGTTACCTCTGACCACCACCCCCGAAGACCAGGCAAATGAGGTTGTTGAAGGATGGGGTCGAGTGTGCTCCAGCTGATACATACCCAGAATAAAAGTCACAAAGAGACCTGTACACACTACTGAGGAGTGCAGTGAGGAGTTGGGAACTCTTAACTGCTGGTTTGTTCACTGCTTGCAAAGGACTTACTATTAAGAAGCACTGAAGGACCATAATGATGGAAATGATTACTAGTTAAAGATTTTAAAAAAGACTGCTCAAGAAGGTGTCAGGTAAGAGTTTTCTTTTAGAGTTATGCCCATTAGCCATAGGCTGATGTTGAAACCCACTGCTGTCAAAGGTTTGCTTTCTCTTCAGAGCTCTGTAGCTGTGGGATTTCTGAGTGTCACCAGGGCACCATGGCAGAGCTTGAAGTTCTATAATACAGTTGTGGCCCTGATGTGGGAAGGACACAAGACAGCAACTCAGGGTATTTAGCTGGATGTTCCCTGGTGGTGCCAGAGTAAAAGCTGGGTGGGTGGTTGCTAAGACATGTCCAGGCATTGCTCACCTCCTTTCCCTTTGGATTGGGGCCTTTGGATAGAGGATAAAGAATTAACGTCAGAATTTACTTAGCGATAGTGAAACAACCCAATTTATTTGTCTTCTAAAACTTCAGCTGACATGGACCTCTGGGGTCGTAAGAAAAGGAAATGGTTTGGAACATGAAAGTAATGGAAGGAAACTTTCCCACTTCATCTTAAGATATAAGCTCTTTGGAAGTTAAGTGTTTGGATGCTTAAGATTTTGAAGGACAACTCTGATCTTCCTCTGACACTTCTTCATTCTGTCAAAGGTCCAATTCCCTTAAGAGTTTCTCATTATCATCTTAAAAAACATACTGACAGTTTCTTCATGATGAAGCATCTGCTAGGCTGTCTGAAGCATCTGGTAGTTCACAGTCCTTTTAGGAAATTCTGGGATGACTTAATATTTAAATAGTAACTTATGTATGGGAAATTCATATCACTTTTGAGGCCTTCCTTGTCTGTCAGTTCAAGTCAGCAGTATTAACTAAGTACTTTGCTGTGTCCCCATGAAGACTGGATCTCAAGGAACTTAGAGGATCACATGGATTTCACATATATTAAGCAATTAGATAATGTTACAAAATTATAAATTTAAGGACTTATTTTTGTGGTATAAGTTCTTAAGGATGGATCAGCATAGCTGAGTTTGAACCCTGGCTTTACCACTCTGGATCAATTACAGTCTCAGGACTTCGCTGGTGGTAAGAATCTGCCTTACAACACAGGGGACATCGGTTCAATCCTTGGCTGGGGAACTGTGATCCCACTGCTGTGGGGCAACTAAATCTGTGAGCTGCAACTAGAGAGGCTGTGAGCCACAACTACTGAAGCCCATGCGCTCTGGAGCCTGAGCCATAACTAGAGTCCCTACAGTGCAGTGAAAGACCTCACATGATGCGACTAAGATCCCACATGCCACAACTGAGACCTGACACAGCCAAATAAAATAAATAAGTATTAAAAAATCACAGTCCCTCTAGTCCTCAAATATCTAATAGGGTGCTGTCATCTGTCTCGAGAATTATTTAAAGAATTAAGTAATGCATTGTGATACTTAGTTCAGTTCAGTCGCTCAGTCATGTCCGACTCTTTGCGACCCCAGGAATCGCAGCACGCCAAGCCTCCCTGTCCATCACCAACTCCTGGAGTTTACTCAAACTCATGTCCATCGAGTTGGTGATGCCATCCAGCCATCTCATCCTTGGACGTCCCCTTCTCCTTCTGACCCCAATCCCTCCCAGTATCAGGGTCTTTTTCAATGAGTCAACTTTTTGCATGAGGTGGCCAAAGTATTGGAGTTTCAGCTTCAACATCAGTCCTTCCAATGAACACCCAGGACTGATCTCCTTTAGGAGGGACTGGTTGGATCTCCTTGCAGTCCAAGGGACTCTCAAGAGTCTTCTCCAACACCACAGTTCAAAAGCATC